TTTTAGTGTAACACAATTAACTACATCAAACAAAAAAAAAGCATATAAAAAAAATTGTGTATATGTAACTACTAACTTCTCCTTCATGCTAAATGGCAGTGATGAAGGTATCTAGTTCAACTAAATCAGATCAGGGAATTTGGGGGCATATCATCTGCTGATGGCGCCCCCATAACTCGCAAATAATAATAATAAAAAATTACGTGATCTATGTTTTAACGCATGCGTAGTACTCAATATTTTATTTCGAACGGTATTTCAAATTGCGTAACGTTAATAACAATCACACAATTTGGATTTTGTTGTCTGTTTTATTTTTTCAAAATCCTAGTGTTTAAGAAAGGTTTTTGCATGTTATTTTTATAGAATATCAAGTGAAATAGAAGCGTACGAACTCTGAAAAAGAAAATATGCAGTTTGTGTATAAAGTTTGGAAACTCGTGGAAGATCCCAAATACGACGGATTAATATATTGGAGTTCTGTAAGGGATTATGCTTTTAATTTTATTATAATACCGAGGCAGAAGTTATATCTTGCACTATAAGATATAACTTTAGTGTATTCAAAAAAATGATCATGCCGTAAAAGTTATAACGCGTTTCAATTAAGCATTTGTATGCTCGTACTTGTTAATAACCGATCCAATGTAAGGAAGAGTGATTCTGTTTGTGTATTATATTATTTGTGTAGATATAAATTATAATGTTAGTGTTATGAAAAACAAGTTTTAAGTTTTAAAGAGGAACTTGTTTATATGTTAATGTTACTGTAAGTCCATCCATGATGTCTCGTCTAAGCTATAAAAAAACAAAAAACACACTCAAGTCCGGTCCTGATTATTTAAATATTTAGCGAGTCTTCTCTTTAAGTTTAAATTTACTGTATCCAACATATCTTGACCCAAGGCAACCCATCTTATTTGCTTAACCACCCTGTTACTGTTACTAAGTTTGTTTTGCTAAGATTTCCTGAACGCATAGGCCTAACTAAGTTTCTCGGAAAAGAAAGGTATCACGAAATATCCTTGACAGTATCATTCTTGACCTTCCATTAGAGTCAGACAACTTAATACAAGTGGTATTTTTTAAAGATAGTATTATAAATACTCAAGTAACAATAGATTATGTGAAACTTTTATGTATGAAATTTATTGAAGTATATAGTTTATTTAACGTTGCAATTTTATTTTTTAATTGTAGCATAGGTCTTTTAAATGTAACTTGTAAGACTAAGATATACATTAGAAAATATCCATTGTCATTCTGAATGTTTTGCAACTGAATATAATAATAAAATCAATATTAAAAACAGTTCCTTGTAACAGATGCAAAATGAGTTTTTATATTAAAAAGTATATTTTATTAAATATGTTATATATTTACATACATAAAAATGGGTATTTTGGAATTAAATAAAAACTATTAATAGTATTAATTATTATTTGAGGCAGTTGTAATATAGTCCTGGTAGTGATATTCCTGTGAAAGAAATTTCATGGCACCATCATCCCTTAATCATCCAAGCAGTTAAGTTTATCAAGGATCATTGTCATTTATTATAAATTCTTGTCACATTATTTATTAAAATAAAATGACCAGCATGAATATATACCATTAAATATCACCTTAATTGTATATATACCAGCATATCCAGTAGAAATTGCATAAAAATAATGAAATATAAAATTAATTAAGTGTACATTGTAAAAATTATTTCTATAGATGTGGGGGATAAGGTAGCAAATTGGAGAGAAGAAAGCAGACGGTTGTTACAAATGGAGTTCGTCAAACTGGATTAATATGACAAGTGGGATACCTCAGGGCTCAGTCTTAGAATCTTTGTTCTTTCCGATTTACATTAGTGACATAGATGAAAGAGTGGTCAATAAGTTACTTATATATTTGCAGATGATATTAGGGTCTTGGGGTTGCTAGCTGTGAAGAGGATGCTGCTGATTCACAAAAGGATTTAGATCATTTAGTGAGTTGGGCAAATATATGGCAATGGGTTTTAATTATAATAAATGCAAGATAATGCATGTAGGTTATCATAATTTGAAGTATAAGTATAATTTCGATGGGAATAACCTTAACAGTGTCATGAAAGAAAGTGAACTTCGTGTAATAGTTGATCAGTCTCTAAAGCCATCCAAGAAGTGTGCTGTTGCTAATGGTAGGGCAAATAGGATTTTAGGTTGTATCTGTTGAAATATTTAATACAAGTCTAAAGAAGTTGTAATTTCATTGTATATGTCACTGGTTTGGCCATATTTGGAATATTGTGTTCAGTATCGGATTCCTTACCTTAGGAGGCCCGGCATGGCCAGGTGGTTAAGACGCTCGACTCACAATCTGAGGGTCACAGGTTCGAATCCCTGTCACACCAAACATGCTCACCCTTTCAGCCATGGGGGCATTATAATGTGATGGTCAATCCCACTATACATCGGTAAAAGAGTAGCCCAAGAGTTGGCGGTGGGTGGTGATGACTAGCTGCCTTCCCTGTAGTCTTACAATGCTAAATTAGGGATGGCTAGTGCAGATACCCCTCGTATAGCTTTGCGCGAAATTCAAAACAAACAAACCAATTCTTACCTCATGAAAGACATTGAATAGTTGGAAAGGTTTCAGAAAAGGATTATTAGAATGGTGCCTGGGATGGAGGGGTTGTTATATAAAAGAGTTAGGGGTGTATGTCTGTTTAAGATTTTAAAGGGAATTGATAGTGTTGATGCATCATCTTTTTTCATACTTAACAGTGAGAATAGTAGGACTAGGGGACACAAGTGTAAATTTTGGCAGGGTAGGAGTCATCTTCAGCTAAGATGGTTTTATTTTTCAAACAGGATGGTTGGCTTTTGGAATGGTTTGCTTTCGGATGTTGTGGAGGCAGTAAATCTAAGTGAGTTTAAGAGAAAGTTTGATAAGTATATGAATGATAAGGTCTGGATTTAAGATTTTTTATTAGATTAATCTATTAATAGTTTTAGTTTAGTTTAGAGAATGGAACAGCTGAGATGGACCAATAGGCCCCATGTTGTCCCGAAATGTTTTGTTATTAACATCAATGCATGATGAAACAGTGCATTCTAATCTTTATAATAAGAATGTATATTTAAGTAATTATACTTATTACTAGGTTGATGTTTAGTTTAGAGAATAGAACAGCCGAGATGGACCAATAGGCCCCATGTTGTCCCGAAATGTTTTGTTATTAACATCAATGTACTCAGCTGATGAAACAGTGCATTCTAATCTTTATAATAAGAATGTATATTTAATTAATTGTACTTATTACTAGGTTGATGTTTAGTTTAGAGAATGGAACAGCTGAGATGGACCAATAGGCCCCATGTTCTAAGTTTTGTTCTAAGTTGGTAATTTGCTATGATTGGAAATTCATATTAATTTGTAACAACCAATACTCAGCCTACTTAGTTATTATGTAATGTAACATCAGTTTCTATTTTATTTTTAGTGTGTCATTATTATTTTATTTTTTCTTTTATTTCCAACACTTTCTTAAAGTAGCATTATCACAAAAAATTAAAAAACTATTAAGACATGTCACAGCTCGTCTATAGCTATTTTTTACTTTTTTGCACACAACATTGATTTTAGCCCATGACTTCATTCTTGGTGAAAGTTGACCAAGTTAAGAGCTTAATGTTTTTATAAGTTTGTTGCTAATTTAAAATGTAATTTATTCTCTTAACAAAAAATAAAGGCTAAAATTTCAGTACTTAACTGATCAGCTGTATTTTTAAGTACACTTAATGTTAATGACATAGAAATTCAAATGTTATTAACTATACTTGTATATTTGAAGTTTTAGTTTCATATATATTTCAGTATTATTTTTCTTGTTTTGAAATCACCATGTTTTCTACATAGGTACACAATTCCTATGATTTTTGGAAAACATAAATAATTGATATTGATAATGTAATTGAATTGAGTAGTTTCCTGGCACAATCAAATTTTGACTGAGAAGTACCTGTACATTATTAGTACAAAATAAAAACATTGAAGCTGAAAAGCATTCAAGATATTAGACCTGATTTTGAAAGAAAGAAATTCTTAAATAACACATTCAGCAAAATTATCTTACACTCGTACAAGATCATAAGCCTTGACAACTCGGGCAATGTTTGAGATAAATTAAAAAAAGTATTTAAACCTTTAAGTTATGCATTTTAAAACATAAATACTACGTAATTAACCAAAATGTACAAGGAAATGTTTGTAAAAGTGTGTTTATGTAGTGTCCATATTTTAGATAATGTTGGATATATAAGACTGTTTAGTTTAATAGTTATTATTTAGTTTATTTAATATTTACTTTTCACAACAAGAGAGTTAAAACTGATTAGTTTACAAGCGATAGTTATGACAAGTTTGGTTACATAATTCTGTACGAGATGTTCATTGTGTTTGCAATTATACTGTTGTCTAGGCTTTAGAATATTGTTGACGTCACCTTACCCGAAACTTTGGTATTGTTCTCGTTACATTAACTGAATTTTATTAAATCACCGCATCACGTAGTTTGTTGAAAATTCCAGGCCTCAGTGAACAAGGTATATATATATAGGTGACTCGCGAGCAAAAGTAAGGTTTTGTAAAATGAAGCAAAGTTAAGTCATGTAAACTTCAGTCAGAAAAAAGTTTGAAAATGTGAAGTTAGCCTCCATGTGAGTGATTAGCCATAACAGGCAATATTTTAAAGCGAGTTTTACAGAAATAAGGAGTATAATTTGCCTTGTCAAGGGGTGTTCTAAAGTAATTGAACCCATCTGTTTGGACTTTGATGAAAAGAGACTATTAAAGTTCGAAATACAACTGTGGTAACCCACGAGGTAATGTAAGTAAATTTGTTGCAGATTTGTATGGTAATAAACAGAATAGAGAAAAATAATTTGTCTTGTCAAATGGATTCTAAAGTAACTGAAACAGCCTATGAACTTTTGACAAAAAAAGAGAATTATTTAGAGTTTTAGATACAACTGTGATATCTTGTAGAGTAAAGAACATTTTGTACATACTGTTACGTCTCTGTTCGTTAATTGATTTTCCGTAAATTCGTTCCAACGAAACTTTAGTGACACAAGTCCTTTGTTAAATAAAACTGGTTTATTCTTTCCGAATACAACTTTACCGATACACTTAATCTGAACAGTCGCTCTATAACAAACGCTAGAAGGTCTCACGTGCTCGTTCGCGTGCTCGACAATACTCAATTACACTGTACTCTCTGACTGCAGTTCAATTACTCATTACCTTCACACATTGTCCTGTCACATTGTGACCATCTTATATATATCAGACTACCCCCAATCTAGGAATCTCCCGATAATTTCCGAAGGTTCAAGAGAAAGAGTGGCGTGATACTAGTTACGTGACCTCGCTGACGCAACAATACGTTTGACTTGTTTTGAATATATTATTTTAAACAAGTGGATTGTGTGCTGTCTGATTATTG